ATATGTCTTTTGAGCTGATTATCTCCAGCCGGTTTCTCGGTCAGTTCTTCCTGATCTGACAAGGCTTCCAGCTCATGTTTCCAGCCTGGTTGCTGGCAGCCGCAGATGAGGGTGACATATTTGATTCTCCCATCCCAGCTGTCTTTCTTCTCCAATTTAATTGACCATCTTGACTTTGTGGACTCCCACAAAACTGTCTCAATGTCTTCGATGGGGCACACAGAGCTTGCATCTGGCTGGGTGGTGGTAGAGGTTTCACCCCAGCATTTTCCCTCTCCTTGCTTGCCACTTTGTTTGGACATGGCTTGTAAGGCTCCTCGGTAGAGTGAGTTCTTCTTCGGGTGGACCACTTTTGCAGATCCTGCTTTATGTAAGGGTCTGCCTCTCCTCTCTATTCAATAAAGTAAAGAATCTTGAAACATCAGCATTTCAAAAGGAACCTTTTATTGAAGGAAAGTGATTGCAGGACAAAAGAAAGCAGGATCTAAAGTTCCTGGGCAATTCAGTTAGGATAAAGTCTTCCCCCTCAGTCCGATGTTGAATGAGCCAATCCACAGATGCAAAGTTGTTGTGAGAAGCGCAGGCTGAGAAGGTGATAAGAAGCTGTTTCCAGGCGACTCTTGCTGAAGGCTTCAGAGCTGAGACAAAACAGATAGCCCTCCCCCCTTACATTCTCCAGAAGGTAAATCAAAGCACAGGCATCAGGAAAAAAGCTATAAACTAAGAAATGCACCCATGCCCCCTTCCTACAAGAAGAGCAGCATCTGATAGGGATCTGTGGGATCTGACAGTATCCTTCTATCAGTACGTTCCAGTCATGGGTTTCATCCCATCAGGTTTTGGTAATTGCAACTATATCATATCTACCCTTATGTACTAATAATTCAAATTCAGCCTGTTCCCCAAACTTTCAGCATTTGCATAATTCACACCATCAATGTATTTATCACCAGTGCAGATATTCTACTTTGAACGCTTTGAGGATTTACCTGTACATGAGAGCCATGCTGTACCTCCTCTTCAATGCTATCTGTAAACTCAGTGCTGGTATCTTTAATGTCATCAGCTGCAGTTAGATCTAGACATGATGTGATAAAATGAGAATCATCATTTTGAGTCTCAGGTACTTTAATTTCTAAGCACCACCTGTAATTTAGGTTTTGCAAATTTTATGCTAGATCTCCAGTACATTCATCAGCAAGCTGGGCTTTGAATTTTTACCAATAAAATACTATAACTTTGTGTCTGAACCCAAGTTTAACCTGAAAAAGAGCTGCCCTTCTAGATTGTCTTGGTAACCATACCGAAATAGTTTGTCATTGCCCTCTGAGATTTTCTTTTTTTAATTCCCAGTCTAATCTAAAGTCTATTCTCTCGTGGGCATCTCCCACCCAAGTATTTACTAATCATTTCTAAATCTGTTAATTTGTTTAATGTATTTATGATCAGCCAAAAAATAAATCAAAAGAGGACAAAAGAAAACCTTTCAAGTCTCCAAGTGATGAGGAATCTAGCAATAATTAACCTAATTTGACTTAATCTAATGGAAACGTTAAAATAAGATTTAAAAAGGAAAACAAATTAAAAGCGCAAAGGGCATAACTTGCAAAAAAGATAGCAAGGAAATGAATAACAAGCTAAGTAGAAAAATAATTAAAGAGATTAATCATCACTCTATCTGAATGTTTTTCAATTTAGAA